ATTCTCTCCATTTTTTTCTGGAAATTTTCTGACATGTCTACTGATTAACTTCCTGTCCTCTTATTTTTTCTTTCATAGTTTTAATATTTCTATTTCAGTGCTTTAGTCTGAGTATTTTCCTCACATCTACCAGAATAACTGTTCTTATTTTAGCTGCATATTGTATGCTTTTTTCACTCAAGTGACTTTTTAAGTCATAAATGGACAAATACCTTTATTTTATTTGTTTTTATGTGGTGTTGATGATTGAACCCAGTTACTCACATGTGGTAGGCAGGCATTCTCCATCAGAGCTACAACTCCAGCCTTTAAATGATTTATTAAATGAATGAAGACCTTTTTTTACTTGTGTGACAAAAAAGAGAATTTTGCTGAATACAAAATTCAACTTCAAAAAACTACCCACTGCAGGATTTTTCTCATACAAATTCTTGAAATGACAAAATTATACAAAGAAATAGCAGATTAGTGATTGCCAGGGTTTAGATAGGGGTTGAGGCAAGAGAAAAAAATAATTGCAGCCATTTAAAAATGTGGCAGATCATTGTATGAAAAAAAAATATTCTGTATCTTATTTGTATCATTGTAAATATCCTGATTGTGACACTGTGTTCATTTTTTAAGATGTACAAAAACTGGCTAAAGGAGACAGCATCACCCTGATTTACTTTCTGACAGTGCATGTGAATTGAAAATTATCTCCAAACACTATTTAATTATAAATGAAAAATGGGACAAAAATGAAAAATACTGTAGAATATATGTAAATGAGGACCATAGAGCAGAAAATTCATAGTCAGAAAATAGAATGGTGATTTCCAAGGGTTGATGAGAAAAAGGAACAAAGAATTAATGTTTAATGAGTATTGAGCTTCATTTCTCAATGTTATGGAGATGGATATTAGTAATAACTGCCAGACAATGAATGTATTTAATCCTCTTTTAACTACACATGTTGAAATGGTAAATTTCATGTTATATTGATATTTTTCCACAATTATTATTTTTTAAAAAAACAAAATAAAAACAACAATCTTTCAAAAAGTTCTAGATTTTAAAAAAATGAAATCAATATTCCTTTCTAGATTCTGGGGCCTACAGGGACTCTAATCTCTTTTTCCACCCATCTGTCCTGTATGAACACAATTGTCTGGCCATAGATTCTTAGTTTTGCAAATACATGCAGCTCTTTCCCAAACCTGTCTGCCTTTATCCTCTACCTAGGACATGCCTTCACTGGGATCTGCACTGCTAACTTTTTTTCACCCTTGATTATCACTCTAATAGCCAGCACAGCACAGAGGGTCAAGTGTATTTTCAGGAATCCAAGTGCACTCTTGCTGTCAAACTGTTTGCCTTTCTTCTCACCAGTAATGTGAGAATCAGCACTGACTAACTGGGCTGTGGTAATGATTAAACAAATCATTATCTGCAAAACACTTAAAACAGTGCCTGACACTCAAAAATTGTTAATTATTGTTATTATTAATTATCATGTTAGGAATATCATATAAATTATGTTGACTGAGTGAAGTTAGACATAAAGGATTTCATATTCAATCATTCCAACAGTATTAAATTTTAGGATAGGTAACAATTGCTAACCTAGGTAAAAAAAATAGATTATTGGCAGGGCATGGCAGGAAGAAATGTAGAGAAAACTCTTACCACTAGCATAGTGAGTTCTTCTATGAATACAGTTGTTAAAATCCATCAACCTGCATGCTTGAAATTTGTGCATTGTTACACATTAAATATAAATTCATAAAATAGTTTTTAAAATGTCACTTCTACAAAGAGGCTATCATTCACACTTAATTTAAAGGATCCTCACCCAGCTCAGTGCTCTTTTCCATTATACCTGTTCATGTTCTCTGAGCCTTCATCCTCACCTTAAAGGAACCTGATTGTTAACCTATTTTCTCATGAACAACAATTCATTTTAGCCTTCCCTCTTTTTTTCTCTGCATAGAAACCAGAACAGCACCTGGCACTAAGTAAGTGCTAAGTAACTATTCAAAGACTGCATAGAGGAAGGGAAAAAGAGGGAGAGGCTAAACTTGTCATAAGCTCCCAACATCCATAACAGCATTGTTGCATGTTAACACTGGAAAGAATCGTAGAAGTATTCAATACAGCATCTTCATTTTTGACATGAGTAAATGGGGACAACGGAAAAAAAATAAATTTATCAAGTGGAAGATGGTCTGGAATTCATATCTTCTAGAATTTTTATTATTATTGTTCCAACACAATATGACTTAGTTTACACATATAGATACACTCTATTATTACAATCAGATCTTTATTCAAGCATTAAGTTGTGACTTGTGCTAAATTAAACATATCTATCTTGGGGCACCTGAAATAAAATGTTAATAAGCTAATGAATTTTCAAGTACTTAAGCATGAAAAATTATGAATCAGAATGTTTCCCATTCACTTGGGATGCCCATACTTCAAAGTCCACATCATTACTGGCAAGGCATCTATCACAATGCTGACTGAAGGTTTGATATATTTAGCCTATATAATTCACAATTCCAGTAAAACTCATGCAAGAACACTTATGCTTTCAGATTCCTGTCATGTAGGCTACAGGATGTTATTTAAAAACAAAAAAACCTGAAATTAAGCAGAAGATTGCCATTGCTCAGACCCAATTTTGGTGTCATAATCTGATAACTGGTTGCATAAATTTTCTCAAAGATAAGCATTACTTGACATCAAAGTTTGTATTTAATAGTCAGAGTAATAGAAGGAAATGTATAAAATATAAAGCAAAGCACATACAGAAGAATTATATTTAAAGTAAGACTATATGTATAAAACTCGGTTTTATACATCTTTGTATAAAACTCTCTTTGCATTTTTTCATATGCAATGATAGAAAATTAACTATTTGATTTTAGTAAACCAAGGAAATAAACATGCATTTTTTATATTATCAGAAAAATATAATCCATGATTACCTAAAACTTATTCTCATTTTTTACATCTTATTCTCATTTTTTTTTCTAAATATCATTTGCTCGTTCAGGATATTTATCTGCTCTAAACGCTTTTTGTCTTGAGGTTGGTTACTCTTTGAGTTTTGTTTCTTCTGATGAAGTTTACAGACAGTACCTGACTTTCTTTTACATCTTTTCATCCATTCAGCTGCACCAGTACTTTATATGTGCTATACACATCAGCAGGCAAAATATAGTTATAAAAAGAAAGATGTTTTAGAGGGTAAAAATGTAGGCTTATGGGCCAGGTAAGATTAGGAAAACTATCTGTGCCACGTGTGGTGTCACACATTTATAAACCCAGTGACTCAGGAGGCAAAGGCATGAGAATCACAAAATTGAGGCCAGCCTCAGCAACTTAGAAAGACTCTGTCTCAAAAAAAAATAATAATAATAGTAATCAGGGATGTAGATGTAGAATTCCCTGGGTTCAATTTCAGTACCATAAGAGGTGAGTGGGCCAAACAAACAAACAACAACAACAACAAAAAACTAGAAAATACTTACAGATTTAAACAGATTTATTCCAATATAAAATAACCAGGATATTTAAAAAGAATAAAATATTCTTCTCTTACCTCAGAGTTTTAATGAAAATCACAATCTTAGGACAGGAATGTTGTAAGGGGCCAAGAATGCAAATGAGAACAGCTATAAGGTGGGTTTGAGGATTCAGTTACTACCTCTCCTACACACACTACACAAGAAATGCTAAGCCTTTCTCTTTCCAGAGGGATAAGAGAAAACTTGAGAGAATTAGACCTCTCCCTCTTAGTATATACATAACAAATATTGAAATGTGACTCTCAGGGCTAAAGTCTGTGAACAAGATGTTAAGACAAAGAGATTCCAGCATTTGAGTGTGTGCCTGATATAGGGTAGACATACTAAATCTTGCCACATTAACTTGAAGACTCCCTTTTCCCATTCATCCCTTATTTCCATCTTTGYCATTTTATCACTGCTTCTTCAACTTTAATTCCCCCTGTTCCATGTGACCTAACACGTTCACAATTTTCAGAAATTAGGCACTTATGTTTTTGGGAAACCATTTTACTGTTATTATCTCTAAATAGAAATGAAAAAAAAATATCTGGGGATGCGGTTTATTAATTAAGTGCCCCTAAGTTTAAGTACAAAAATACAAACTAAATATTTAAAATTTCATATGAATATTAAGAGACTTCTGAAATAATCAACTATGAGACTTATGTTTTCTCTGGTTTGAAAAATTCAGAATATTTAGTAATTGTTGATTTATAGTAAAATTTTATTCTTTTAGGGATGCACTATTCTATACTTGTATTTCCTTATTTCTACAATATCAGCTAAAGATGTTAAGAAAATTTTCAGCAAATGTCAAAAGCAAATACCTATTTTCTACTTTTAAATGATTTTTTTTCCCTCCTATGTCCCAAATACTTCAAGGGATGGGCTATAGATAAGAAACTTACTACAATCGTTATATTTGTCAAGGTGTTTTTTAAATATTTTGCTGTGATCTAAGGTACACAGTTTGGACAAATGCTACTCCACATTTGCTACAGATATGAGGTCAGAAATTGAAAAATGTCTGAAATTTGAATACAGACTTTGACACATTCTTTGGGTTTCTATATGCTATAAATCCTCCAGGGTTTTAAAAATGTTTGATCAATGGCCAAAAGCTTTGCAAAAATTTTTCCACATGTCCTCTCCCTCGTATGAATTCTGAGGTGTTGAGTATGGTGTGAACAAATATTGGAGACTCTGTCACCTATTTTACACTTGTATAATTTTTGTGCTATAATATCTCTGGTATGAAATAGTGTTGAACTACTATGAAATAAGGGTTGATTCATCCTTAAAGACACTGATGCAGTGTTTTCACTTGTAAAACTTCTCTGCAGTATAAAATCTATAATGTTTAGTAAGATGTGATCTTCAATTTTAAAAGGTTTGCCATTCTTCACATTTGTAGGACTTCTCTCTGATATGGGTTCTCCAGTGTCAAGTAAGTGATTTTGTATTAAAAGCTTTGCCACAATCTTTACATCTGTAGGGCTTCTTTCCAGTATGAATAATTTTGTGACCATTAAGCTGGGAGGCGCTATCAAAAGCTTTGCAACCCATTTTACATTTGTGGGGCTTCTCTCCAGGATAAATCCTGTTGTGGCAATCAAGATTTGAGTTTGTATCAAAACCCTTGCCACACACTTTACATTTGTAGGGCTTCTATCCAGTGTGGATTCGCTGGTGCTGGGTAAGTGATTGTTTTTTATTAAAACTCTGGCCACACATTTTACATTTGTAGGGTTTCTCTCCAGTATGAATCCTACTGTGGCGATGAAGATGCGAGTTTGTATTAAAACTCTTGCCACACACTTTACATTTGTAGGGCTTCTCTCCAGTGTGGATTTGCTGGTGCTGGGTAAGTGATTGTTTTTTTTATTAAAACTCTTTCCACACACTTTACATTTGTAGGGCTTCTCTCCAGTATGAATCCTGTTGTGGCAATCAAGATGTGAATTTCTCTTAAAACTTTTGCCACACACTTTACATTGGTAGGGCCTTTCTCCAGTATGGATCCTGTTGTGGCAATCAAGATTTGAGTTCGTATTAAAACTCTTGCCACACACTTTACATTTGTAGGGCTTCTCTCCAGTATGAATCCTGTTGTGGCAATCAAGATTTGAGTTTCTATTAAAACTCTTGCCACACATTTTACATTTGTAGGGCTTCTCTCCAGTATGAATCCTGTTGTGGCGATTAAGCTGTGAATTTGCATTAAAACTTTTGCCACACACTTTACATTTGTAGGACTTCTCTCCAGTATGAATCCTGTTGTGGTGATTAAGCTGTGAGTTTGCATTAAAACTTTTGTCACACACTTTACATTTGTAGGGCTTCTCTCCAGTATGAATTCTCTGGTGATTTTTAAGGCTTGGTTTTTGACTGAAACCTTTACAAAACTGTTTACATATGTAAGGCATCTCTCCAGGGTGTGTCCACTGGTGACAAATAAGATTGGAGCTTTTAATAGAAGTTTTGCCACATTCTTTGCATTTGCATGGCATATCTCCTGTATGAACACTGTGATGTTGAGTAAAGTTCTTGAATGCATTGCATTCTTCACATTGGTAGGTCTTCTCTGCAGAATAAATATCTTGGTATTGAGTAAGAGTTGAAATATTTTTTTAAGGCTTTGCTATACTTTTTACATTTACAGGTCTTTTCTTCACTAAAAATCTTCTGATGCTTAGCAAGTTATAACCTTTCACTAAATGTTTTTTCTGCATTCTTTAAATTTGTAGGGTTTATTACTGTTATAATATCTACTGTGATTAGAAGATGTTGAGCAAGCTGATGCTTTGATATATTTTTTTAAACTTATATGGCTCTCTTTCTCTACAAATTCCCTTGTTTTGAGCAAGCTCTGCACTGTGATTATGAGCCATTTATCATACCTTACACTTGCAAATTTTCTCTTGACTGTGAATATTTGGATGCTTAATAGTTTTTGAGCACTGAAGCAAGACTTTATCACATTTTTTATCATGGTAAATTTCCTTTAGAAAACAACTAGGAGATTCTCTATATTCATAATTTTTATCACCAATGTAAATATACTGGTAATTACTCAGGGTAGAGACATGGCTAATAGTGTTACTTGTAGCATTATATATTGTGCACTTTCCAGAAATCTGTATCAGAATTTTCATTGAGCAATAGTGGGGAAGTAGAAAATATTCTACACTTCTTAATATCGTCTATTTGGGCACAAGGAGAAATTACTGTTTTGTTGCAGGAAAAAAAGGACATTTTGTAAAGAAATTCTCATAAGTATCACTTTTATAAATGTGTTCTCTCTGCAAATATTTGACTGGATGTTTAACTCAGTGCTACATTTATAATTGGCTAAGTTAAAAACTGATGCATGGACCACATTTCAAATTTTCTATATTGTTTTTCAATCAAAATTGGCTATATTTTTAAATACATATACAACTCCTCAAAAGTAACTGAAATAAATTGAATTTTTTAAGATATTAATTTTTCCTCCCGTCTTTTGACCATAAAATTTTTATCATAAATAGGGACTACAAATTGGTTTTGACCATTATAATACGATTTTTGAACTTTACTCTCACCTATATTTTTCCATTGTTTTCTTCATTGTACACAGTCAAGGTCACATTTTCCATATCTTCCCTCTCTCTCACTTATTCCCTGCTCTGGTAAAATTTCTCGAGGATGATGAGAAGTCATGGCTGATATAAAAGTAACAATCATTTTTACTTACTGTACTCGGCTAAGTATATTTTGCACACATAAGAAATTACAGCAATAAAGGAACATAAGCAGGGGAGTATTAAATCTAAGCCCATTGTTACAGCAGAAATGTATGAATCAAATAGAAATGTACACAGAAAATTACTTTGAGAACTTTCCAAATCATCTTAGTGTTGACAGTATTCAAGATGAGTACATTCCTATGAAGAGTAATATAGTAAAGTACATGATGTTACATAAAGCCTTTCCTCCTTCACAATATATTTTAAAAATCTACCAACTTTCTTCTGTTTCATTAAAAAATAAATGTGAAACATGTGAATATTTGAGGACTGTTCAAAAAGGGGTTCCTTTTTACCAAAAGAAAAAGAAAACATGGCAAAATCTACTGTAAGAAAAGTTATGAATTACTCAAAGGGAATAGTAAATTGCCATTTTAAAGAGGTTTACTTAACTAAACCAACACACACAAAAATAGAATAAAATGTAGTCAAGAATTGTTAATAGTAATAAGCACAAAATGTGTGTTTAAAGACTTTCTTTAGAAAATGTCTGAAAGAGTCAGGGGTGGTTGTACATACCAACATAGGAGGTTTAGCCAGAAGCATCCAATTTCCAATGCCAGCCAAAGTAAAAAATGCAAAGTGGTAGTTCTCTTTTCAGTACTAATAAATGCATCTCATAAAATAAGTAAAATAAAACATCCAAGCAGCTCAATTATCTCCAAGTTGTAAAGACTCAAAGCAGATTTTAATCCAAGTTTTAAAACTTACAGAGAATATTCAGAGCATCCAGCATAAAAAGATTGGTCACCTAGAAATATGTAACTATATAATTGTAAAATCCTTAGTCAAATCTTCACAACACAGAAAGGAATTTGGAGCTATTTTCAAGGGATGAAAGAATAAAATTATCAATGAAGACATTATATTCACAGCTATTATCTTTCAAAAAAATAAGTAAAATAAAGACTTTAAAATATAAATGCACACACCATTCATCAACACTAGATCTGTTCTCCACAAAGTACAAAAGGTAATCCTTCATACTAAAATGTAAGTGTGCACAGCAACACAAGTCATGCAAAATTTTAAACATTTCTTGGCACAAACAATTCTTCTTTATTGTAATGATGGGTCTCAAAACATGTAATTTTGCAATAGAATATGAAAGACAAAAGCATAAAAACAAAACTGTTAATAGCCATATATACCTGTGACAATAATATAATTTTAAAAGGACATATAAATATGATTCAATTTTTTAATAAAGTGAAGTCAAGTTGATACTCATACAATGGATAAGTAGGAGATTCTTCATTTTTAGATATTTTTTGTTGGCAAATGCAAGGTTACAAATGTCTGATCCAAACAAACCTTGGCCATCTGAATTAACAATAAATATTACAACTGTTGGTGGTCCATAGGATACTCTAAATCTAAGGACACACACATACTGAAAGCAAAGGGATAAGAAATGACACAAAAGTGACTGAACAAAACGTGGGCTGTCTAAATTATAGTATACAAAACATAGTTTAAGACAGTTATAGGACATAGGAGGCATTTTAAATTAAAAAAAAAAAACTTTGAAAAGAGGCAAAATAGAGAAAAGGAACCTTTCCCTAGGTTCTAAATTAAGAGTAAATACATTCACAATGTACATTGTATTTCCCAAACACACAAAGAAAACATTGAGAGAGTTGAATGAAAACAAAGAATCACTATTATACTAGGATACATCAATCCCCGATTACTGAAAAGGGAAATACAGTGAAGCAAAATGGTAATTTCAAAGAATAAGATTTTGAAAATATTTTAAAACTATTATAGAAATATTGAATCCCTGTTCTTAATCGCAAGTGGGATATTATATTGGTTAGACCAATTTTTTATGTATTAAAACAAAGGCTAATAACTATTTAAGTGATAGTTATTTTGTAACCAACATGGAATAAAAATTTGAAGTCAAAAGTGATAGAGATGTTCAAAGAGTGTTCAAAGATTGAACACTCTTGAGCATGCTGTTGTTCAGAATTGAAAGATAGAATTAAAAGAAAAAGATATTTATACTAGTTAAAGTTAACTACAGGCTCCAAGTAATAATCATCAAACTCCCATTGTTATTTATTTACTTTTTTTGCAGAGAACTCTTTCCTTTAAATTGTATGACTATCCCACAAACTACAAATTAAATTACAATATTTCCCTGCTTAAAATATACTAAAACTTACAACATTCAATTGTAAATGCAGACATAGAGTTAGGGCGATGGAGTTCTGAGAGAGTGTGGCAATAAGCCCTCACATTAATAGCAAATTAAAAACATTGCACACAGTGTTGTTATATTGTTATTCAACAGAGCCATCATGGGGGATGCAAACCAAATATCCCTTGAAAAGAGCAGATGAGCCAATTTGGAATATGGAAACTATAGAACTTTGAAGTCAAAGAAATTATTCTAATTATGTATTTTACAAAATGTATGTACACTAGGTTAACTGAAATATGTCACAGAAAGAATACAACAGAATTATAGAACAGGACATCTCTAAACTAACAAAGAAGCTTTCTGAACAAAAGAGAATGGTTTTGTGATGGGGAGACAGAAATGAGTCCTTGCTTTCTAGGAATTTTTTTTTTTTGAGATGTAAACTTTTTAGAGATATATTGCATAACAATTTTAATTAATGTTACTGAATATATAAAGTTTTGGAGACATTAAGTTTTATTTTGTGGTTTTGATTACAATGAAAATTAAAAGAAAAAGAGATTTGCAACATTTCTCAAGCTACATTTAAAATAATGTGGGCTTTATCCTATAAATAAGAACAAACTCATCAATATAAAAGTGATGGGCATGCATGTAATCTCATGTACTAGGAATTCTGAGGCAGGAGAACTGCAAATTCAAAACATCCTCAGTAACTTAGTGAGTACCTCTCTCCAAATATGACTGAAAAAGAGCTTGGGGTGTAGTTCAGCATGAGAGTATCACAGCCATCAATCCCCATTACATTTACATATAGAAAATTTCAATTTCTACTTACAAGGGAAGAATGCAAAGGCAATCAAGATAAAATGCAAAAGTCATAGACAAAAGAGGCTTAATATTTATACAAGCAAAGGCACATATAACATTATTGGCAATACAAACAAGAGTCATGCATATCTTAATTTGTGAAGCAATTAACTGATATGAGGAAACCCAGTCTAAAACATGGAACCTACTGTACAAAATGAAAAAAAAAATTAACAAACCAAATTGTAAATATCCACAGTTGTATTATTTTACAAATCCTCTTATTCAACTACAACTTACACCATCTCTCAAAAGAGCAGTCTTTGTCCATCTGACATTCATTCCATGGCAGATAATTTCACAGAAAATCCATTACACATATTCAGAAAGAACACTGATAAGTAAACTTTAGTGAAAAAAATGTACAAAATAAGATTAGAGAAACTGACTTATGTTAGTAATGTATTACAATGGGTGGACCTAGAAGTCTCCAGAAATGTGCAAAAGTTTCCTGTAAATAATGGAAGAGGGGCTGGAGTTGTAGATGAGTGGTAGAGGGCTTGCCTAGCATGTATGAGGCCCTGGGTTCAATCCTCAGCACCACATATAAATAAATGGGAAATTCATTAACAACTAAAATATTTTAAAACATTATGGAAGAGCTGTCAGATAATATTGACACTCACAAGGCAAAGGGGGTGTTTTGTTGTTAACTTGAATGTACAGAGAAATTACTGGAGGAAAAGCACAGAAGACTAGATAATTTTAAAGCACAAAACACAGGACAGGTTCTTCTATGATAACAAGAGAAAGAAATCAAAGCTTCTCAAAAATCTTTTCTGTTGGATAACATCTCAATCAACCTTTTTGAATTTAGGCTTTCTCCTCTACTTTAACTATGTCCTCTGCTATATGTGGGCCATAGTATTTGACATGACTGCATTTCTCTAAGTCAACTACATGTCAAGTGAAGGATATATATCATGCCAACAAAGGTAAACATTAAGGATGAAAAGAAGCATCATTAACATTTTCTTGTCAGCATCAAGAACTGCCCCATCTTTCTTTATTGAAATCATAAATCTGAAACTCATTCTTATGGTGAAGTTCCCAAAAGATATACTTCAAGGGAAGAAATTTAAATAATGATAATTAGGAATTTTGAAGCAAAGTTATAATTACCCACAAATACCAGGTTGCTGTAGGTCTCCAACATCACTTCTCTATATAAATTCTGCTGAGCAGGATCCAGGCATTCCCATTCCTCCTCAGAGAAATCTATGGCCACATCCCCGAATGTCAATGGCTCCTTAAATAAAAAATTGGTAGATCAATAGAACATGGACCAAACCATTATTCAGTTTTTAATTTGAATTAAGAGTTAGTAGAACTGACTGTCATGTAGGACAGTGACTTTAATTATGTAATAAGATACTTTCCATTATCTAATTCAGAGGAAAATACATAAGTCCAAAAACAGTATGTATATTCCATATCAGAGTGAAGTGAAGGTATATACCATAATCCAAGCACTGAATAAAAGCCCAACTCCTAACTTTTCTGTCATCAGTGAATGTGAAATTTGGCGGGCATTCCAGATGCAAAACAGACATGTCAAAGATATTCTCATAAGGTGATTGTGCCCAAGACAGAAAGTTAGTGGTAACAAAGCTTTTGAAAACAGTCTGGTAGTTATTCTTTCTGCTTTGTATCCATGAGATAGATTGAGCTCCCCAATACAATTAGTTTCA